CGAAACTTCACCGCCAGTTCTGACTTACATACAGATTCAACTTAAGAACCCCAGGCGTCCCCAAGTCAGCTGCTGCTGAAACTGATCAGCGTCTGATTCCTGGGCTGTCCCGCTGCGGGCGTGCTCGGCGGCTTTGCTCCCGGTCTCCCTGGTCTGCAGGGAGATGGGGAGCAAAGCCTTGGAGCACACCCGCAGCAGGACAGCCCAGGCGTGCCTGGGCTGTTCCGCTGCGGGCACGCTCTGCGGCTTTGCTCTGCGTCTCTCTGGTCTGCTGGGGGGGCTCCCCTCCCCGCAGCAGACCAGGGAGAAGTGGAGCAGCTTTTCTCGCCCCGGAGGACGGGGGCGGCGGGACTGCAGCGCATCTGGGCGTCCCGCCGCTCCCGTCCTCCGGGGCGAGAAAAGTCGGATCCGCGTAACTCGGGGACTGCCTGTACATTATTGTGATTTGGATTTACTTATTTCCAACACACGGATTAAAGTTTCATTTAATATTTTAATTATTTTACAAATAAGATTACATTTGTATTAATTTTGTATTGCAATTTGTATATTTTGTTAAACACTATATCTCATATCAATGCATCAACAATAACCTCATGAATGCCTCGCTAAGTAGTTTAGTGCTCTCTGACTGGAAACATAGGTGGCAAATCTCTTAGTAAATATTAAAACCCCTACAATTCCTTAGTTTCTATTGTCATGCTGCCTGGAATAGGTCCAAAATCACAACAAATTGTCAGAAAACACGACACCCCAAATTGGCAATATATTCTATCATTAGATTTTACCATACAATAAAAATGTAATGTATTAGAAATTAAAAAACACCACACATGTTCTTCCATGCCCAGGAGGCCAGTCACTTACCCAGATCAATGGATACTTTTGATTACACACCAAAAACCATGCTGAAAGCCAGTCCTTGAATAAACTATGTCTAAAGGATTATTAGCTAAGAAAAAGAAATGAGTTAAATGGTCAAAGCAGATAAAATGTATTACAGTTGGATTAGAACATATAGTCCAAATTAACAATACAAATGTTAATCAGCTAATTTTCTGTAAACCTCTCTGGATTGCCCAATTAATTTTGGGGATATCAGTCATTTGGTTCAAAGTTCCTTGCTTTGAATTCACAGAGAAGAGGTAAGAAAGAGCTGGCCAAGGTGCTTTGTTCTCTCCTTTTATATCATGATCCTTTTGCTGAAAAATTTTGACTGTCATAAGTCTGGCAGTTTCATGGTGTACATTGGCCATCAGTGTTTCATATGAATTGCAAATTCTAGCCTGTACCTTTTTGTCTTTAGGCTGTCTGAGGTGTCTTCAGGGACAACATGCTAATACACTTATTTACAGCTCCTTTGTTATTTCAAAGAGCTAACCTGTGGGCAGTTCTCAGACCCACAACATGTAGCCAAATTTCATAACACCACACAATGTCGATATACACATTATAACACGATAACTCAATATAATTCCATTTCTCCAATGATTCTTCACAAGGTTTATTTTGACCAAGATTCGTCACAATGTTGTAATAGTGGTGATTATATTAGCATATATAGTCCTTCCACTTTAGACTGTATCACACCCGTATCAACCAAAATCTACAATAAACTTTGTATCTAGAAATCTAACACTATCATACATAACACAAGAATGGCCATGCAGGGTCAAACAAAAGGTACATCTAGCCCAATATCCTGTCTTCCAAAGGTGACCAATGCCATGTATTGCAGGGGCAATGAACAGAGGAAGATAATCAAGTAATCCATTCTGTCACCCGTTCCTAATTGAAATTTTTTTTTATGTAGGTTGATCAAATGAAGGAATGTATGTAATCAATAATTGAATAAGTGTAATCTTTTACTCTGACACCATTAAAGTGTGGGAAACTGTGTCCAGATGCCTAAAGATGGATCACTGGTAACTGACAAGAGATGTTTGTTACCACACATGTTCTGTGATTGATGAGAAGCTGGTGATTGACAACAGTGTTTGTTATCAGATGTGTTCTGACTGAACTAATGAACCATTCATTGATGCTGAGGAAAATAAGAATCACTTATTGTCACAGATGTTTGGGGGGCGTTAATGGATCAGTTACAGATATCTTTAGCTAATAAGTGAGGTAAATTGAGATATATGGAATAAAACTCAGATCAGTCATGGGAAAAAATTTCTTTGTTCTGAACAGAATACAAAAGGAAGAGTTCTGGGAATGAGTCAGGAATGGGTCAAGCTGAAAGGTCATTTCTCCAGTCTGGTATGTATAGCTTTTCTATATTGTGTTGTATTAAATTCTGACTAATAGAATTTGATTAAATTCTTCTTGAGCCTGCTACCTGACATCTTATGATGGTGTTATTATTGAATTCAAACAACCACCACCTTACATATGAAAAATCAGGCCATTATTTCTATTCATGGATTTTATTCTGTAAACACCTGGTTCCAAAGGTCTGCTTTGTGCTGGCTCATGGGAATAGACTATAAATCTCTTCCAGAACAAAAACACAAGGACCATAGTGCCTCAAGAAATCTTTATCATTGTAAATATACCAGGTAAGGCTTTGGAGATGTGACAAGTACTTAGATATTTAAAATATCTGACAGACTGAAATACTGCTGTATTTCATCTTGATAACTGAGTTACGCTCAATTTGGCTTCAAGTACTTAGGCAAAGTTTTTATTACCAGAAAGCTGCTTTGCTGCTGGGTAATAGTGACAGCAGCGTGCTCAGGTTTGTTGCCTGCTCTAGGATACTCCTTTGTAGGAAAAAAATAAAAAATTATAACATTGACTTAAACAATGTTTGATATATTGCTATGAAGTGTATCAAAAACCCATTTCGTCATGTTACTATAAAGAGAGGAGACAGTCATTACTGGGAAAGTTAGGTATCTATCTGGCACTGTGCCTTTGAAAATCTCCTCTGCTGTTAAATTAAATGAGTTAACATGAAAGGGAAGGGGTTTTCTTTGCAAAGCTACCGAAAAAGGTGTTTTGTTTGTGACTGTAATGCAGTTTTCAGTTACAGAACCAAAGCACTGGTTAACCAGTTAAGCAGTCTTCGTAAATCTAGAGCTACAATGCTTGCTCACATGCACAGAAAAAGTATATTAACCTTCTCCCTTCAATAGGCCTGTCATGGGTAGGAAGGGAGGAGGGGCAAAGAGAGCAACTGCCCCAGTGTCCAGTGATTCTGAGTTCAAAGGCACCCGGGGCTCCCAGCTACTGCTGTTGCTAATGGGACAGCAGCTGGAGCGTCCAGTGATTCCGAGTTCAAAGACACTCGGGGCTCTCAGCTACTGCTGTTGCTAATGGGACAGCAGCTGGAGCCTGGACTATTTATATTGCTGCAGGAGCTCAGTGTGGTTCTGAGGGCTGGCTGCCCAGCCCTGAGGCCCTGCCTCTTCTGATATGAGCAAGGAAATACGCTGTCAAATGAGCGCCTTAACCACCAATTGTTCTCCCTGGAGCCCAGTGACTTCCTCCTTCCGGATGAGTTTTCTGACCATTAGAGTTACAAGGGGTAACACCCTTTCCACCTCCTGAGTCATGCCAGGAAACAAACACATTCAGGTCAAACATGTTCCATTTGACCTGAAATGGCCTTCTTCAGCCTGCTGAATGTTTTTTGAAGTTTCCAGGTTTGATGCTACAAAATTGTGCACAATTTTTCAGAACTATCAACAAAACAAACACAATGGTATTTGTCCAGCTCTAACTTCAAAAACTAATTAAAAATATGGGAGCCCTCTCATTAGGGCTGGCCTTACCATGAGGCAAACTGAGGGGGGCACCTCTAGGATCCAGAATATAGAAAATTGTGTCTGCTGATGGTGCAGCAAGGGGGTATGGGGGTGTCATTTGAGCACCCCGCCTCAGATGCCAAAATACCCACGTATTTGTGGGCTGGACCTGCCTCTCATAGCCAAAATACCCACGTTTCCAACAGATGCTGACTAAAGACTCACTAAAGGCAGTGAGATCATGCAGCTACTTCATATTCCAAGAGGTATTGTATTTAGTTTAAATTTATTTATTTATCACTTCTCAGGCAATACCTGTATATCTTTCACCAAGGGTTCAAAAATGTACTGTATTTCAGTAATTATGGTCTGAGGACTCAAAGAACTAAGTCCAGATTCTCAGCTAGTCTAAATGGGCACAGCTCCACTGAATTCATACCTTGGTTCCAGTTCCCAGATGTAATTGTCAGATTTCGAGCTACGAACCAGGAGGGAGAGTCTTACTCAACATAACAAATCAGGGGCATCTGGGTTAACCACAACCCCAGTGCCACTTCATACCATCACTTTCTAAAGAACTTCATATACATGGTTATTGTATAACTTTTGCACCTATCTTTTATAACAAGTAAATACCAGTTGTAAGTTTACTTTGACTCATCTGCATTTGTTCTTTTTCCCTTTTTTAAATTCCTTTAATCTACTAAGCATCTTTTCCTCTGTCTTTGAGTGTTTTCCCTTCAATGTCATGTTTTCTAACAGGCAATAACTGTTCCCTTCTCCCTTTCCTTACCCAGGTTGTGTTCCCTGTCAGCTTTTCAGAATCTCAACCCTTTTCATCTATTGTGGGCCCTGTCCCCAGCCTCTCTGGACTTTCCCCACCTTTCTGTCATAATTTAGTCTAAAGAGAAGACAGTGTGCAAAGTAGAAACTGTCATAATCACCATCATACAGTCATCACCACATTGGCCAATTCACTAAATATGCATCAAAAGACCGGAGAAAAGGGTAAATTATACATTTGTCTATTTGTTCAGCTGTTTTGCACTACTTGTTTATTAAACCTCTTTTACAAAGGGCAACCTGCTTTCAAATCAACAGCTCCAGTGCTCACAGTGCTGCCAGGATATTTCCCTCTCTCACACCTACCTTCAAATTGCTGCAGCCTACCAAACCATACACTGCCCTAGTTATCTATAGCAAGAGGAAGTTTCCTGCAGCTTGTGTTTTGATCAGAACAAGAATTAAATTATGGCAATTTGTGACAGGGTGGTTGCCCTGCACTGGACCATAAAGGGTTAAAACAACTCTAGGAGAGGGCAGTGGTTAGGAGTTAATTGACAGAAGGCTCCTGGCAGCTAATCAGAGCCCAGCAAAGCTGTATGAAAAGGAATGGCTGGCCAGGAAGAGCATAATCTTGCTCCAGCTATGGATGGAAAAGGACCTGACTATTTGCTAGCATGGGGTACCTTGGACAGAGCAATGCCTGGGGGAGGCAGGGTAAACCAGGGGAGCTCAGGCCTGAATAAGCCCCAAGCTGAGGCCCAGCAACAAGGATCCAGGGTGCCGCGTCCAGGAGCTATCCCCACTGCTACTCTGCAGTTTAAAAATGTAGCAGAGCTGGGCGTGCAGGCAGTCTGGCTCCTACTACATTTAAACTGCAGAGTTGCAGCGAGGACAGTTCCCGGAGCCATCACAAGCCGGGACTGAGCAGTCCCAGCTCATGCTGCTCCCTCATGCACCACCCAGCACTAGCTCCTGCTCCTCCTCTCCCCCAGCACTAGCTCCTGCTCCCCCCTGCCCCTCCCCCCCATGCTGCCTGTGATACAGGGAGTGGGCAGCATTTGAATCTCTCCTGAGTGGTTGTACAATGTGGCAATGGGGATGTAAGCGAGTAGTTGACTACCTGATTCCCTAGTACAGGAGGAGCCCAGAGTGTGGGCGCATTGCCTTGGGGAAGTACCCTGAGGAAAGAATGCTGTGGTCTGTGAGACACTGCACTCTGAGGCTGGACTGGGCTAATTCCTGGATTGACCAGCAGGAGGCACTTCAGTGGTGAGTCGCACACTGTGGTACAGTTAGAACCTGGGACCGTGCTCATATAAAAACGCAGATGTGTTAAGAAATCAGGCAAATTACATCCAAAGATTTTTGCTGATTCAGTTTCACTTACTCCTGGGGACAACATTTTTTCACCATAATAGGAGATTTGGGTAGGACAGGGTTTGAACCAATGTTGTTAAAATTGAAAACAAGATTTTTTTTGCACCTTCTTCTTCTTGTCTCATTGATGCATATGTGGCCAAGGAAGTTAAGAAGCGGGTAATTGGTAAACGCGTAGTCAATACAATTTGTATTGACTACACGATTAGTTGATAAGGGGAGGTGCTCTGTCCTGGCTTGTGCCGCGTCCAGGAGCTATCCCCACTGCTATTCTGCAGTTTAAAAATGTAGCAGAGCTGGGCGTGCAGGCAGTCTGGGTCCTACTACATTTAAACTGCAGAGTTGCAGCTTATCAAGTAATCACGTACGCAATACAATTTGTATCGAGTACACGATTAGTCAGTTACCCGCTTCTGAATATCCTTACTCCCATTGCCTGGAAAACAGCCATTGGGAGGCGAGACTGTCGGGGCGGGGGGGGCGGGGAAAAAACGCCTCACTTGATTCCTGAACAAGTCAGGTAGTCAACTACTCGCTTACATCCCCATTGCCACATATAGGGATGTAAGCGAGTAGTTGACTACCTGACTTGTTCAGGAATCAAGTGAGGCGTTGCATCCCTATTTTTACATAAAACATATACACTCATTTCTACACTGTCCATCAAAAAAGATGCCATGAGGGACTTTGAAAAGGTCCCTCTTTTTTCTTCCCAAGTATCTTTATTTACAGCATTAAGTGATGGCGGGCACTCAGCCCACATCTACACTATGAAGAAGATGGATGCTCCCAAGGTTGATCTTCTGGCATTGGATTTAACAGATCTAGTATAGACCCATAAATTATATTCCAAGGGCAGTGCCAGCTGGCGTCCAGTATTTCTCCTTTTGTGAAGAGTAAGGGAGGCAGCTGGCCTCCCACTGTATGGGCAACATAGAAATGCAATTTAAGATATGTCGACTCCAGCTACATAATTAACATAGCCAGCGTTGTGTCTCTTAATTCAACCTTCCACTGTAGTGTAGACGTTGTGTGTCTTAATTCAACCTTCCACTGTAGTGTAGACCAGGCCTCAGTGACAGATGCAAAAAAAAAGAGTGGTGTTGGAAATCAAGGAAATGACTTTTTTTGAGTAGTTGGCATAAATGTTATTAGATTTAATTTTTAGGGCAGCGGTTTTCAACTGAAGGTTCACAGACTAAGTCTAAGGTTAGCATTACCATAGAAAAATGGTTTTCAGCCTATGCTCCAGGGACTCTTTGTCTACCAACTACATCTAAGCTTTCCAAAGAGGTCTGGAACCTCCATTCAAAATTTGAGGGGTCTGCAAATGAAAATGGGTGTGAA